TTAAAATGGGGGGGGGGGGGGGTTGGAGGGGTTCCCCGTCCCCCACCGATTGACGCCCATGATAATTATGTACCATGGCAACAGTCTGTAAATGTTCCCGTTCTGTTAAATTGGGATTTTGTGAGGCAGTGGCATTTGTGGGAAAACGTACTTGAAAGGCTTGCTGTAGTACACAGACGAAGGCTGATTAAGAAGGTCATAATTAAGTTTCAGTATATTGGACTCTTCAACAAACGTAAACTTGAACGTCTTACAATTTGCGAGACTGTCTGCGAGGAACTTGTCGAGTCAACTGTTATTCAAGTTAACTTGGGGCAACCATCTATATAAGAGCAAATTTTACTCGGCCTCCGAGAAATGTTTGCTCCTGAAACGATCTGAGACAGCGGTCTTTCGCGATGCCACAATCGCTCCACGTCCGTGGAAAAATGTGGAGGGGGTCTTCCGCCGGATCGGACACATTTTCGTTGATTTTTTGTGTGACTGCGTTTAAGATCTCGATGTTTGAAGCAATGCATCGATCTTTCGTTGATCCCAGACAGGCCCCCGAAATTATAACGCAACACTGTGGCGGGCAGCGAACTCAATACGCTCAGCCTTGGTGGAAGCATGGAGCTGTATTAACACACGATGGAAGCAACAGAGCACTATACACGTCACTCACATGCTTGTGCTTCAAATCATGCAAATAGCGAGCACCGTAGACCCAACCTCGTTTCCAGGGTGTGGAGCAGGCTGCAGTACGCGTTGCCAACGACAGTTTTGCATAGCCCGGAAATACTACGCAGTGTAGACTTTCGATTGGTCAGACCGCGCAAGGCATACTTAATGTGAAGTCCTTCTGAGTATTCGTTGCACTCGGTGCAGGGGCGGCAAGCGAAGCATATGAAAGAATAGGGGCACTTGGTGGCCACGCACCATGGAGAAAAAATATTTTACCAAGGTCACCCCATAACACAATTTGGTGAACGCTTTTGCAGAACGGCTGAGTAGAACACGTAAACGGAACCCCTACGTTGACCTCGCTGACCTGGCACAGTGTAGACACGCAGAGAAGCCAGCACAGGGGGCGGCCAGGCAGTCAACGTGAAAGCGCACACGACGGCAAATTCCTGCGAAAAACGCAGTCACGAAAAATCGACGAAAAGGATCGCCGGTCCGTACGGGAAAATCGGGACGACCCGAAGTGTCCGACCCGGCGGAAGACACCCTCCGTATTTTTCCACGGACGTGGAGCGATTTTCGCGCAGCGGGAGCCCGCGATCTGGGATCCTTTCATGAGCAAACATCGTCTCGGAGGCCGAGTTAAACTCTCTCTTATATAGATATGTAATACTCCAGACAATGTAACACTTGTTTAATTGCAGATGATACAAGTTGTATACTAACGATATTGGGATAAAGCAATTATAAACCTAAATATTGAACTTGAAAAAAAAATTGTAGAAACCTAAATATGGAATTTGAAAAAAAATCAGTACATGGCTTACAGCAAATCGTACTTTCGTTCGTCTGAGCACTGAAAACGTTATTTAGTAAATTACTTTGAAAAAGTCGTCAAATTCCGGGAAAAGAGTTAGTAATGCAAGTGATTTGTCATGCATAGCGAATTATATAAGGGACATGACAAATATAAGTGCATGCAATACGAATCATATAAATTGCTGGACAAATTAACATCAAGCGTTTCAAGCGGCAGAGGGCGCGCTTCGTGTGCGCGAAGTAGCCCAATGCGGCGCTTTATCGCTATCGATTTTACAGTACATGGCTGTCGCTGCACAGAATTGCAGGCCTTTGAGGGTTCAAAATCAATATGGCCTACAGAAAATCCAACACTTCACCAGCGCTGATGGTAGGCCGATGGTTATATATGCTGACAAAGCACACCCTATTCATGCAAATCTGATTACACCATTTAGAGGTGTTGGACTTACAAATGTCCAAAGGTATTTCAATGAACTCATGAGCTCTCATAGAATTACAGTAGAGTGGAAGTTTGGCAAAGTTTCATCAAATTTTGCCTTTATCAACTATGCCCCAAACATGAAGGTCTACCTCCAACCCATTGCACTTTATTATAAAGTAGCAACATTGATGTCCAACTGCCATACTTGTTTGTATGAAAACCGAGTGTCCAAGTATTTTCACAAAAAACCACCTCAGTTAGGTATGAAACAAATCAAATAGACAACTGATAATCTGGTGAACCAATGTGCAAGATTATTTATTTTAAGTGGAGTTGATTTCTAAACGCAGTAAAGATTGTCTTCAAATATGCTTGAAACTGACAATAATTTCAAATATTTACATTTTCCATTTAAGAGGACAGTGTTTTTGTCCCGATACAATAGGCAGAGTAGAGCTTTTTCTCCAAATTTAATAAGGGAATAAATGTGTGCTCGAGAGGTTTTAATCACTCTGTTTAAGACCGCTTAGAGTCTGGGCGCTGATAATTACCTGAGCCGGAGGCGAGGGTAATTATCAGCACCCAGACTCTAAGCGGTCTAAAACTGAGTGATTAATACTGTCCGAGCACATATTTATTCCCATTCATAAATACCTTTGCGGTCAAAAAATATAATATGTCGGTCAAAAAATCCCGATTTTGTTCAATAAGTTCCCTCCATGCTTTTTGAAACATCCCTCTAGCTAAATAATGGAGTGTCAAGCTTGTGAGTAACATGTTAACAACTCATTTTATGGTGATTGTACAGTACATGTATATTAATACCTTAAACTTGCTGCAGGTATTTTGCACAGTCATTGATGGTTAAGTTTGAAGAATCCAGTGGCTAGAAATCAATACATTTTGTTCATGGCTCACGACAATTATTAAGATGCAGCAAATATCTTGATGTTGGATATTATGGTTTTAAGCAAGGTTAGGGTTATGATTTTAATTAAATTATTAACTTAATATATATTGAAAGAGAAAACAACAGCGTTTTACAGAACATATAATATATTTACAGTATTTTCCAGTATTAGAAATTTAGACATGTATATGTACATAAATGCATTTATTTAAATTACTATACAAGTAATAAAACAAAGTGACATTTAATTTCTTTGGTATCAATTTTTCTCTAACAGCAGTAGTTGACAAATCAACTTTACATTTTAATTCCAATTCGTAACATTTTGAAGTGGTACTACTGATTTTAATAACAGTAGATTACAAAAGCACCAAGGTTTAATGGCAGTTGCCATTTAAAGGGAAATGCTAGTTATAAATAACTATAGATTACAAGAACACCTCTGACTTTAAAGAATTTCGTGATAATTTGATCATTTTTTTAATGTTTGCAATAGTTGTACATTACAACCGTGTTCCAGCAAGTAACTATAGGTGGCAAGAATAACTTTTAATTTCAGAATAAAATAAGTAAGATTATTTCAAATAAAAAGGGTCATTTAATGCCAACACATACAGTTGTAAGGTGACCAAACAAGTTTGTTATGTGTCTAGGTCCTATGTTAAGATGCAGATGTATTTTCATCAACAAAAACTGCCCAGAAAAGCGTGCCAGTAAATGACTCGGCAGCACTTTAAAAACAATCTTTTGGATAAGTCAAAACAGACAATTAGTCTTTTAGTTGAAATTACAGTTTAAATTTGTTTTGTTTTAAATGAATTAAATGTAACCCGTCAAAAGAATAAAGGCAATAATGCAATGAATTCTGATCAAAATGTTGTCCGAAACTTATGGTCTGAAATTATTCCTATGGCATGTATGGCATGTGTACATGTAAAGATTGCGTTTTTTTTCCCCTGGTCGCTACAACGTGCTACAATATTCAGGTGCGGATCCAAGGGTATGTGAAAGGGGGGGCACTGATGTTGAAACAAGAAAAATTGTGTACACAGGGCATGAAATATAGGAGGAAAAAAGAAGAGTCACCCCTTGGCACCTCCCCCTGGATCTAAGCTATTAGTTTCCAGAAGTGCAAGTAGATTTTTAATGAGGGAATAACTGTGGACAGTATTAAAAACTCTGTTTAAGAGTGGTTGGAGTCTGGATGGGTGATAATTACCAGAGGTGAAGCCGAGTTTTTAATACTGACCAAACACATATTTATTCCCATTCATAAATACCTTTTCGGTCAAAAAAATCACATCTTTTCGGTCCAACAAGTCAAAAACTACAAGTTGTCAACCATTTTGCTATTTAAACAAGTTTACTTTATATGCTTTAAACACCCCTCTGTTTATAATGTGGAATTTCCCTCTGTCTAAAATCGAGAGTGCTTACGAGGTAAAAATCAACAAATGTTCACAGTTTTTCTTCTCTTTTTTCGTTGTATTTCGATAGTTGAAAAAAAAAAAAATTGTGAGATTTAAAAAAAACACCACGAATTCCAATTAAAACCGGAAAAGTGGCATCTCTGATAAATATACCATTGTATTGGCTTTGGGATAAATTTGCAAATTCTCCCTTTTGAACTGTTGAGATAGCATAGAAATAATTGAGTTTCTGGCAGTTATCCTCATACATGATACAGTATGAGGCTGTACGCGATAGCCACTCCAGGCGTTTGTACAGAAGCTAACATATACCGATACAGATAAGCTTTCTTTTAGTAAAAGAATAACTCAAATCACTCATGTACATGTACTTTTCAAGTTACGGAATATTAAACTCAACCACTGTTATCAAGTTTTGTCCATGGATCTCAAAAAAGGTGTGCCTTCTTTCAGCAAAATGAAAACAATTCACACACATCCCTATGTGATTTGTTTTCGTTTTGCTGAAAGAACACTTACCATTTTGTGATCCGTGGACAGAACTATAAAACGGTGGTTGTGTTTAATATTCTATAACTTGAAAATTACTTGCGTGATTTGAATGATTCTTGTTCGAAAAGAAAACTTATGAATTGGGCTTTCATATCCTACATTTTTAAAGTGCTACATGCAAAACTTCACTAAATAACACCCCCGACATTCGGGGATAATTTGTTTTACTCATCCTGAAGAGTGCAAATAATAAATATTTAAGGGGGCCTTGACATTACTTTTTAAGCAGGGACAACATAGCTTCCATTTGCTGTTGCTGCAAACGGAAGTTCTGCTGCTGCTGCTCACGCTGAAGTTGCAGTTGCTGCTCCTGTTGCACACTTTGTAGCCTTAGCCTCTCTTTCTCAATTTTTACTTTCTCTACATCGATGACCATTTGTTTTGCGCGCAGGTCCAATTCTTTATCTTTGAGGCTGTTTTCTGACAGCTTGACTTCTTTCAAATAGCTCCAGAGTGCTTGCTTGCGTTGACGCTTAGCTAAAAAAAAACAATATAAAGAATATATAGTCAAAAGTAGGGTCATCGTTTGTTTTTTGTCAACGCAATGCTGATTTACAGGCAATTATCAAAAATATACATTAAAAGTCACCTGTGAAGTTTCAGTTGAATACATTGTCTACTTGTTGAGAAAACAGGAAAAGTCTGTCAAAGTATTTTCATCAAGAACACCTTTTATCAAGATGTTGATCTCAACATTGCTCAAGTGAATCAAGATAAGCAAGATAACTAAACAAGCTTGATGCAACTTTATAAGTAAGCAATTTTAGCTTTACTGTTTCAGGTGAGTGTTTTGACATTTAATACAGATGTGTGGGATAGTCTACATTTTACTTGAAAGATACAAAATGCAGACTTTGCCATTATTGTCTGCGGAATGGGTAAGTGCTATTGTAATTTAATGTAGCTCTGAAGGCACATTTACCTTAGCAGTTGCCAAATGTATGTTCTCTTTGTTTGCATAGCTTCCTCTTTAATTTATTTTAAGGAAAAACTAGGTTAGGCTCACTATGGTAGGAGAATGAAATTATTAAACTCAAGGAGAACATACCAGGAACAGATATCTCAGAGGTTTCCGTTTCCTGGCTTTCATCAGATACATGTAGCCCATCATCTTGTTCACATGCTGTACAATTAAATGTGTAGACATTTCAATATTACAGGTTACTTTTTTAATTATTGTGCATTAAATATTACAATACCAATAAGCACACACCTCCATGTGAACATTATTCCTCCATCAATGAATGCCAGGCCTAATATAAACAACCCTTGTCTATCACAAGTTGAATCAAAATATGGTCAACTACAAATCTTGTGTTACAATTACAGGTAAAGGTCACAAATCTGTCTTTTATGTAACACAGCAATACTTCCCCAAATGTTGATATTTCCATAAAACTATTAGGCCTGATGCTTCCCTCTTGAAAAGGCAAGGGCACCAAGGCATATTCTCCTTGGTAAAGGGCACCTCTATGAGGAAACTGTAAGTTTCTATTGGAACATTTCAAGGGGCACCAATGCAATTGCCTGTTGCCTCACTGATGTGTCTTAAAACTACAGCAAACAAATTATTGAAAAATACCTTTAGCCCTTTTCAAGCCTTGTGTGGCTGCCTGCCGCAATTGAAGTCCAGCCTTTGTTGACTTCTTCTCCTTCATTTGACTTGAGTTGTTTTTGCGCTTCTGCATCTCCTCTTTTCGGCTATTCCACAGATCGAAATTCTCCTGTAGAAAGGCGTCATCCTCGGTTACATTAGCACCAGTTCCTGTACTGAAATTATCAGTATTGATTTGGAATATGATACTTTTAGTACTTCTTTAGACATTTATGTCAAAACAAATCCAACACTCCTGTGTACTTCTCTCACTATATCTTGTTAGTGAGGTTTGCAGTAGCATCATGTAATATTCTCTCTATGATTTGGAGTGGTTCTGAAAAGAAGTGTTTGTTTCAACTCGACATTTCGACAGTTTCAACTCGACATTTCCATATGTTCTGAATGATAGTCTTCAGGAGCATTTTCCCGAAGACAATCAGACCATACTAATAGAAACGTCGAGTTGATTATTACATGGTTCTACCAAAAAAACCTCACTAGATCAGATTTCCACCATGCAAATTTTCAAATCCTACTTTTATGTCTTGTTGCAACGTACATGTTTAACTAGTATTTGAAATTTGATAACAATGTAAAACAAATCTATTTGTTGAAACTTGATGGAAATGAAGCATTGACAGGTTAAATGTTAAATTTTAACCACTTTCTCTTACGTGAAACTTTCCACTTCCATTCAAATAAAACTTCAAAAATTCAAATAAAAATAGGGAAATTGACATGCATGTATCAACAAATTACAAATTTGTTCATAAAATGTCATCGGAACATTAATTTTGAATAAAAGCAACAAGAGTTATTAAATAAGATCAGGGATTTATGCAAGGAACTATTTTATTGTTTAAGTTGTTTTAACCTTAATTTTAGGACTTGACAAATTCAGTCATTGCCTTTGAAAACATACATACGTTTTATCCACTTCAGTTTGGTTTTTGTGCCACTCACGCAGCATCTCTCGCACATTTTCTCTCGCACATTTTGTTGTCAGCAACTGCCACTTTGGACCACTTGCTTTCAGTTTATCCACAAGAACATCCCATCCTTTAGAAGATTTACCCATCCCCTCAGGATTATCTACTGCTACTTGGTTCAGTAGCTTTGTTTTCATACATTTCTTGAAGCGGAAGACATTTCTACCAATCAGATCAGCCTGCAAAGATACATGAACATAATCAAAGTCATTATAAAAATGTTGACATAGGCCTACATGTATGCCTACAGTGAAAATAAGTTGAAATGTAGACTTAAGTTTCACAATGTTGTTTGTCTCCAACAAAATATTTACAGATCCTAAGTCGCAGACTTTACGTGCAGATTACAGGCGATGTATAACCAACCAACCATCAAGCCAGCCTGGGCTATTAAAATTGAGTATTAAAAACATTGAAATAAAAAGTCCATACAAACATGAGGTCATGAACTGTATATACAATGCATATCCATAACTTTGCCCAAGCACACCCGCATAATGCGTACATTACAATGCGTCCGACATTTTGAAATCCCACATATAGACACATTTTGAGGACAATTTTTGTGGGAGCTCAGCTGAAGACTGATGACTGATCGTCGTTTTTCGGAGAGATGGATGATGATTTTTAATTCTAGATAAAAGAAACTGTTTTCGTACAGGTATGAGTCCCTAGGCTCTAGGAACCTTAACTTTGGAAAAGCAACGCCGCGCCACTCCAGATCCGTATGCTATCCTCCATGGATAGTGCAAGGCCAGAGGCAGTCGGGCCATGGGCTAACTAGGGCCTTAGGGCTTATTCACTCAACATGTTCCAGATACTCTTTTTTCACGAAAAGGATGCATCGTGAAACAACGATTGAACAAAAAAAAAAAAAAAAACTTTCACTAATTTTAGCTTAAAAGTGTAGGCTCAAAAGTCTAATAAAATCCCAACCATATCCTTGTTTTTCTTCATTTAATGACAGTAGTAACATTATCTGCACACTATACCTGAAATTCGTAAAATTTGGGAGTTCATAAGAAAACTATTTTGGGCCGTAATTTATCAAGGAAAATCCATACGTGAACTTACCATTTTGACGTGCGATGCAGAAACGCCATGCGAGTACGTTGAAATTTACCGCAAAAACTGATGACGTCATCCACAGTTTTACGGAGCTGCACGCGCATCCCGTATCTGCATCGTTTTCTAATGGTCCCTACTTCCTACGAACGGGAGGAGTTAGAGCTGCGGCCAACAACGGGATAGAAGGGTGCTGTCTAAAGAGACATGGGCGTAGGGCACGGGATGAGAGCAAAGATGGATATATAGACGACTCACTCGAAAAAAGTTAGAAGTGCCTCAGAAAATGGGTATTTAATTTCCCTAACTTTTATTTATAGGTTTACTTTCATAATCCCATGCTTTGGTATTGTCCAGAGTGTCTCGTGTGCTTTGCTATCGCCAAATCAAAAGAAGGGTTTTGCTGTGTATTTGTCAGAGTTGTAATGACTCGAGTCAATGACTTGACTCGAGTCCGACTCGAGTTACAATTTTTGGTGACTCGACTCGACTCGAGTCCCTAAGGGTAAATGACTGGACTCGACTCGAGTCACTGCAAGCAAATGACTCGACTCAACTCGAGTACGTCCCTCATCAGAAGACTTGACTCGAGCGAAGGCTAAGAAGACTCAAGTCCCAAAAATAGAAGCGCAACTTTGCGAAAAGTATTTGCAATGACTTACCGTGCAAAATTTATGCTCACTTTACTTTGCGAATAGCAGTCATGTACAATTTTTTTAGATTTTTAAACACATTTTTCAATTCGCTGTTTCATCTTTGGTTTTGGACGATTTCTTATAAAGCTCTTGGATTCGAACGCTGGCTAAACTTATGGCCTCCTTTTATAACTTTTGGTATATATAGTGTTCAAATGTTCGTGACTCGAATTGACTCGAGCTAAATATTTGACTCGACTCGACTCGACCTTTTGACCTTATGACTCGACTCGACTCGAGTCACTTCTTTAAAATGACTTGACTCGACTCGAGTCAATTTTTTAAAATGACTCGACTCGACTAGAGTCACAAAAATCAGTGTCTCGCTACAACTCTGGTATTTGTGTAAGTGAAAGTATAGATCAGACCAATGGCTATAATCAGGACCTTGCTGCATGTTCCAAGGTGAACAACTAGTATGGGATGGTCCTTACAATCAGCTTTTATTGAATCTTGGGAATCGTCTTTTAGTTGGCGCAGAAATGTCAACGGAGGACAGATCACATCCTTTCATTTGCCAAGAAACGAAGAACGTTCCCACTGAACTTTTGTGGAGCTTAATGTAAAGCTTAATCCTAGTGAAAACTTCACATATATCGATGCAGCGATATTGATGCAGCACACTTAATGCATTTCAGTCGATTTGAGTCAGGGACCTTGGCATTGTTGGCCAAGATAATGGCGTGGCAATTTCTCTGTTGTAATTCCTACACAAGTGACATGATACCAGTCCTGGCAATCCCCTTCACACAACACCATGGTTCTGTTGTTCTTTGGGCGTATACATTCCCCACCAAAGCAACACACAGAGAAATCAAAACTGAAGAGATTCTCTGTCGGCTGACAGAAACCTGAGTGTTGATGTGAAGCCCTCTTGACAACCTCTGCCTACCACTATCCGCATGACCCAAAAAGATGATGCATGGCGGCGTAAATGCTCTATAGTTGTCAGAATGCTGGGTTTCTGAGTTTTCCGTTTGGGCTGACGACGCTTCTCCTCGACGATTGTGCAGGCAATCCAATTGCGAATTTCCGACATGTCATGCTGTGGGAAGTATATCAGGTACTGGCCGCTGCACACAATGAAGGTATATCTGGATGAAGGTCCTACCAGGAGAATGGAAGAATGCTGCAGTGGTTCCTATCTACAGAGAAGGTTCCAAGAATTCTCCAGGGAACCACAGGCCAGTCAGCCTCAAATCAATTCTATACAAAATGATGGAAGGCATCATCAGGAAAAGTATCCTAAGTCACGTTGAAAGTCTTGGTCTACATGTTCTAACAGAAGAAGAATATGGTTTCATGAAAGGCGGCTCATGTCTCACCAACCTGTTAGAAACCCTTGAAGATATCACAAGAATGATGGATGAGGTAGGAGGCGTAGACATGATCTAACTCGACTACTTAAAGGCATTCGACTCTGTCCAACACAGGAGAATAATTTTCAAACTTAAGTCACATGGAGTGGAAAGGAAAACATGGAGTTGGCTCGAACATTTACTCGTCTTTTACTGAATCTTGTGAATCGTTTCTTAGTTGGCGAAGAAATGTCAACAGAGGACATTTCACAGTCTTACATGTGTGTATTGCCAATTGAGTCAGGTACCTTGGTATTTCTGTTGTAATTCCTACACAAGTGACATGATACCAGTGCTGGCAATCACCTTCACACAACACCATGGTTCTGTTGGTCTTCGGGCGCATACATTCCCCTCCAAGGCAACATACAGAGTAATCAGAACTGAAGAGATTCTCTGTCGGCTGACATAGAAACCTGAGTGTTGATCTGAAGCCCTCTGGACAACCTCTGCCTACCACTATCCGCATGACCCGAAAAGATGATGCATGGCGGCGTAAATCCTCTTTAGTTGTCAGTATGCTCGACGACTGTGCAGGCAATCCAATTTCGAATTGCCGACATGTCATGCTGTCGGGAGTATATCAGGTACTGGCCGCTGCAGACAAAGAAGGACCAAAGTAATACATGAACTCCACAATCCCAACTGTTGTTCTGATGTGGGATGTCTGTTGGTGCAAGAATGGTCCACTCCTCCACAACCAGGGGCCTCTCAGATTCAATCATGGAGCGGGAGGAAATAAATCGCAGACTGAAGTGATGGCCCGTTCATCGTACCCATGAAGAGAATCCAAGTATATCACCAGCTTTCTTGGACGAACATCAAAAATTAAAACCCAATGAAAATCTCCAGCATTGGTAGGCATTACCAAAATGTCACTGGACACTGCATCGCTTTCATTCACCCACTTTGCGAAGCAGTGAGTCTTCATGCCTATTCGGAGCCACTCAGCAAAATGGATTGGAAAAATGCAGGCTCTTGCCCAGCTCTTCGAAATATGTGGCAGTGAAGCACAGATGTTCATGAATTCATCAATCACTTGGTTGTCCAACCAATATTCTTACCCCTCAGTGGTTTTACTAGCTCCATACTTGTCCCATCGCTGTTCCTTGTGCCGGCAGGAAAACGTTTACCTAACCATGACTTTGCAGCATCCACGGCTTGATTAAGCCGTCTAGTGGACGAGGAACCGTGCTCGCTGGCTGGTTGTTCCATCTCATCGCAGGTATTCTCTGTGATTGTAAGAGTCCTGTTTTTCCCATGTATCGGGGTGGATATCATCGTGGGACGCACGTTTTGATATTGCGCCTGTTCATCTTCAGTGCCCGCAGCGTCCATCGTTGGTGAGTGTTTGCGAATCTTCGAATTCAGCGGAATCTGTTGGGTCTTGCCGATGTATGCCAGGTCCATCACTTCCATGCGGGAAGTATACTCGTTGGTGGCCTCTGGCATGTTTCCTCTTGACACCTCCCTGTTTCCGTGCATACGTCCCGTCTGTTTCTTTTGTTCTTGGAGTGTGCGAGGAATTGAATTCAACCCCCCTGGAGATGAATTAAACTCATCCTCTGGTGGGGTTCGACACTCCCCATATGATTCTTGCATCGTCATATACGAATCTGGAGCTGGATCAACTTGTAACTTTCTTTTGTTCTTGGTCTTTTTCGGCCTGCTCTTGTTCGTCCCCTTTTGTTTCTCGTCAGTTCGATTGTGATCTTCTCCATGAAATCTCCCTTCTTTTACCACGTCCACCACCTTTTCTGGCTCTATGACATCACTGGGGAACACCACATCATCGATGTCGAGCGCTTCAACACCATCCACCAGATTGTATTTACCCAAGTTAGATCTACCACGAATGACTTCTCTCATGTAGTAGTTTTGTAGGAAATAAATAGACAACAGCATTTCGTCTAGACAGACTTCGCCTGCTGATATCATCCTTTTCACTACGGCATTGAACTCTCCGACAAGTTTGTCATCCCTGAAGAGGGGTAGTACACCCCCAGTTCTTCTAAAACCCATCTGCCTGCGTTGAAGATGGGTTCCTGTAAGTGATCAGTGAAGTATTTCACGAAGGATTTGCTCCATTTGCGTTCAAACTCTGAGATCTTTCTCTGGCCTTGTCTTCTTACGGGCTGTCCAGTATGTGGAGCACGTTGTTTGTGTATACTCGCGTGTCGATTTGCGTACCACCGTGGCACGAGACCCAGTATTTGATGTGGATCAGAAGATGGTTCCAACAGTGAATGTGAATCCACCTTGGGAGCTCCTTCTCAATAGCCTTGGTAATTGATGTCTCCCTGTCTGTCACTATGATGAGGGTTTACTTGCAAGTTGTGAGTACGTTGTTGCAAAGTTCCGA